ACTCCAGGACAATTTTAGTGTATATTTTGGGGGCAGGAAGCAACAAAAATATTGTTTTGTCATCTCTAAAAAGTCTTCATTTATTGCATATTTCAAACAACCAAAATTGGAAAAAGAAAAAAAAAAGTTTGAGTCAAGAACTAATGTTGTTCTGTTCTTGGTTTTATTTTGGCTGAATCATTATGTCAGAGTGGTATTGTGAAGGACATTGAAATAAACATTATTGTGCCTTCTCCAACATACCTTGCTCTCAGATGGCTAGACAAATGTGATTTTTTTCCCCGTCATTTTAATTATGTGACATTATATTTACAAATTTAGACATTTTTGACATTATGAATACAAATTAATATTTTTGATGACTTGGGAAAAATTTGATCATGAAACTCATTCATAGTTTTCATTCATATGATTGCTTTGTTTCCCCCAGAGGGCAAAAGACCGTTTTATTATTGAGGTTATTACTTGACATTCCACAGAGCTGCCACGTGAGCCTGTCTTTTTTTTCAATTGTTCCATTTTTTTCAATTGTTCCAGACCACAAAAATTTTGATCACTCCTCTAAATAAGGACGATATGTTAAAAAAAACTCTGAGATATAGGCACTTGCAATCCATGTACAGCACCTGACACAAAAGGTCTGTTTCTTTCATTGAAAACAGCTAGCCAAGTCCCTAACCTTTTCTGAGCTCCACTTTTGCGCATTCAATTCAATATTGGTGGCCATCTGTAAAGGATCCTTGTCCTTAAACTGCCGCCAGGATTGCTGCGTACAAAAGTATGGATAATTATATGTATTTTCGATCTAGATGGATCAATAATGCTGTTGTTTAGAAGGCAAAGGCCAAAAAGGTGAGTGCTATTTAGCTAGCAGCCAAACATTGATTAGTTGTTTTCACTTTCCAGCCGATCTATGCTAGCTAGTAACTTAAGCAAGAAATCCACAATCGCTTCCTCTCTGGGTTTTCTCTCTCGGACAGGATTCTTTGGTTGCACAACCTAGGTGTATGTCCTTGTCGGTCATTGAATCTAACTGAACAACAAATAACCGGCTTTTTGACAAAACAATACGTTAAAAATTACTGGAGGGAAGCAGAAAAATCGCTCTTTTACCCTCCAAGTGGGTGTTTGTCTTGTCTCGTGACTATCTAATGGAAACAACTATGAATTATAAATGGGACTGCTACTACCAGATAACTGTGCTCCATTTGGCAGAATTTTTATATTGCCTTTTTGTTGTCAATCATAGCAAGAGCAAAATATTTCTGCAGCCAAGATTTGGCAGATCTTGGCAGGAAGATAGGCTTTTTGTCCATTTTGTTGTTGCACCAGCGGTGAACACTTGGAACAACCTGAAAGTCAGGCTGCTCCATAACTGGAAGTTGTTATGTTTGCGTGACATGAGGAACAATCTGGATTTATGGCGGCGTGGCATGAAATTTGGGCCGTGTGGCTTTGTTCTTGCCAAAATAAATGAGTGAGTTGGACAAAAGAGGAACAAAATCATGATATAAAGCAGGAATTTTATTTGAATCACATCTAGGAATCACCGGTCATTCTGAAGACCTTTTGTTTGGAATAAAACTAGCCATATGCTGTCAGCACGATCCAGCGCTGGTGTTTATTTGATTTCGGAAAGATTTCCCCAACCCATGACTAGACTTGGAGGTCAAGATTCCAGCTTGAGTGCTCAACAGTTGTTGCAATCTGGCTAAGTGCTCAAGCTTCGGATTAATCGTCCGACCACTACATGACTACTGCTATATCCCCGAGACAAAGGGTTCGGTGTTAATTATGTTTTCGCCTTGGCCGTCAGTGTAATTTTTTTTCCGTGGTCGGATGTGGGTAATTTACATAAACGGAGGATGAACATGGGTAATTTGTATAAATGGGTGTGGCATTACCATGGAAATCCCATGATATACCACAGCAGAATGCCTACATCATGACTGCATTTGAGCAACCCCAAATTTAAGAAGACACGAGATAAACAATAAAAGAGAAAGTATTTACCTATAACTGGGGCCAGGATTCAAGTTTTTAAAATATCAGCTTGACTCTCAATCTCAACGAGCCGCGGAAGTTTGCAGTAACAGCAGTACGCATGTGCGAGAATGGCATAGGGTCTATGCACACCCCCATTTATGTGAATACCCACATTCGTCCCCCATTCATGTAAATTACCCATGTTCGTCCTCGGAAAAAAAAATTATGCTGGCTGCCATTGCCACCGCAGATCCTTCATGTTAGCAGGATAACTCAAACAGCTTTCCTGGGAATTGCACAAAAATGGTTGTTTATTCCTGGTGCATAGTGGATGAACTTTATAGTTTTGCTTGACCCTACGACCTTCCATGTAACACCACCACCAGGTCAAACTTTATATTTCCAAATGCAGTAACTCAAGTAGTTTTGATGAGAATCACGAAACACTTCTTGTGATTGGTTTTGGAGCAGAAGGAAGGCATGCTATCCCGTGTTTCTATGTTCAGTATTTGTTTATGACAGAGAGTTGTGATTGCCTTGAAAAGTGCTGGAGAAACCAAGTGTGCATATGCGCAGGAATTTATAGGCATGCAAGTTGCTGGACAAAGTTATTTATGTCCTGTGTGGCAATATAAATAAGATCAATTACTACGATGCTTGCTTCAAAAACGATCCTTTCTGCCTTGAAGCTACGCACACACCTCAATTGTCATGTGGCCTGAAATTTTTTGTGTGACCCTAAGACCTTTCCTGTAGTACCACCACCAGGTCAAACTTTATATTTCCAAATGCAATAACTCAAACAGTTTTGATGGGAATATTGTCACACTTCTTGTGATGATTGCTGGTGCAAAAGATGGTTTGTTTTTGAAGTAGGCAACCCAATGACATTTGCTTTTGCACCACCATCTGGACAAACTATTAATTTTTTGAAATTGTAACAACGGAAACGGCTTGAATGGAAATAATTTCAAATCCACTTTGAACATACCTGGTCCTCTGAGGTGGAAGTCGTTGGTTGTGGTGGCTCTGTAATGTTCATTGTAGCACCACAATTCAGCCAAATTTAACATTTCTAAATGCAGTAACTCAAACAGTTTTGATCAGAATCATGTCATAATTTTAGTGATTGTGTCTGGTGCATAGAGAGGGAGCCTTATTGATATTGGTCATCTTATGACCAGAATTTGCCAAGGACATTCATGGAGCCCAGAGTAGTTTTCCCTTTGATTTTTCTGGACCCTATGCCCTTTCCTTTTGTGCAAACACTAGGCCAAACTATGAACTTTGCCTATGGGGAGAATGCTTTCATTTAGGATATATACCCTGCTGTCGTCCACTGACAGCATTTGTCTAGTTAGAAAAGCGCTTTTTTGCCAATTCCTCATGAATAAACTCATATTTTAGTGCATTGTCTTTGGCATATTTTTATTTCTGTAATTTTATAGTACAAAAATCCTCAGAATACATTCAGTGGGCTCCAAAATTACTGGCATCTCTGACTGGCAATGCATGAACAACACTTTAAAAAATTCAAAAAAAAAATATTTATGGAGAAACTCTAAATAACAACATGTTAGACATATTTTACGATACTAATGTTCCCATGGAACCAACCAAAATCATTTACTGATTTAATTAAAAATCAATTTCTTTCAAGTCAAGGTTTCACAATTAATGGCACCCTTAAAGATTATTGTAAATAACATCTAAAAAATTAAACCAGGTATCAAATTCCGTTTATTTAGATATTATCGAAGTGTTAAGGAACTATATTGAGCCAAAACATCACCTCCTGTTTCACTGGGGTATCCACATGAGGCAACACACATGCAATATCCCTTTGTCATCCATCCCCATGAAAAAAACAAAACAACTGCCAGTTCAAAAGGGGAAGATGGTCACAGACCTTCATCAATCCGGTAATGGCAACGAGAAGATTCACAAATGACTGAATATGCCACTGAGCACTGTCGGGGCAATTATGAAAAAATTCCAAAGATGTGGAACTGTTGAAAACCTCAAGGGTAAAGGACGCAACTGCATTTTGCCCCCAAGGATACTGAAGAGAATGAGGAAAGAAGCAACAAAATCCCCAAGAATCACTGTGAAGGAATTGCAGGTCTTGGTGGCATCTTAGGGTCACCAGGTTTCAAAAAGCACCATCAGGTGCCACCTCCACAACCACAGGCTCCTTTGAAGGGTTGTCAGAAGAGAGCCTTTTCTGACCAGATGACACAGAAGCCAAACGTCATTTAAATTTTGACTGGAACAAAGTGCTTTGGTCTGATGAGATCAAAATTTTGGTCAGATACAACATTGCCATATTTGGCGTCAAAACAGAGGTGCGTACAAGGAGAAGCATCCCAGACCCACTGTGAAATATGATAGTGGGTCAGCCATGTTTTGAAGCTGTTTTAATTCATGAGGTCCAGGGGCACTGGTTAAGATTCTTGGCATAATAAATTCCACTGAGTATCAGGATATTTTGGCTGACAATCTGGTTGCCTCCGCCAGAAGCCTGGGACTTGGCCATAGGTGGACTTTCCAACAAGACAATAGCCCAAAACTTACCGCAAGATCCACACAGAAATAGTTCTATGACAACAAAATCAACGTTCTGCAATGGCCATCTCAGTCACCAGACGTCAGTCCACATGAAAACCTGTGGGCTGAGTTGAAGAGGGCAGTTGATAAACACAAACCCACGAATGTGAAGAATCTTGACAGGATCTGCTCAGAGGAATGGTCCAAAATCCCCCCAAATGTGTGCCTCAACCTTGTGAAAAATTTACAGGAAACATCTCCATGCTGTTATCCTTGCCAGAGGTGGTTGCACAAAGTACTAAATGAAGGGACCCAATCATTGTGAAACCTTGATTCTGTTGAAATTCATTTTGTATTAAATAATTGTTTAGATTTTGGTTGTTTCCATCGAAACATTAGGAAAGTAAAGTATGTCACACACATTGGAATATTTAGTTTCTCTATAATTATAGTGTATCCTTTTTGGTGGCACGGTGGTGCAGTGGGTAGCATGGCTGCCTCCCAGCCAGACAGTTTCGAGTTTGAATCTGGCCTGGGGCCTTTCTGTGTGGAGTTTGCATGTTCTCCCTGTGTTTGATGGAGTTTCCTCTGGGTATTCCAGAGTTCTCCCACCGTAGACATTAATGTTAGGCTAATTGGAGACTCTAAATTGCGCATTGGTATGAATGAATTGTATGTTGACATGGCGGAGCTGAAAAATTTCCTGACGTTTAAGGAAACAAAAAAGTATCAGTCAATCCAATGTCTTTCTGAAAAAGCTAATCTCATGTAAGATTTGTTAAAAATTCCATATTTTCCCACCAGGCACTCAGAATATACTTGGCACAAAATTTGAACTTGCGATGTCTCAGAGTGGATTCAGTGCTGCCTACCTGAAGGTGAAGTCCTGTCAGACACATATACAGAATCTCACTTTGTACAGTGGCGCTCAGAGTTATTAGATTAGATTTATTGTTAAAATACTAGAAAAAGTAATGACGTTATGAGATAAACTTAAAAGTGCCAACATTTGAGAAATACTGTACTTTATTAATGTCTGAATGGCACCAACCATTATTGATCTAAATTAAAAATCTATTTATTCAACTACTTCTTTCAAATTTAAATAATACTCAAATATATATGAAAAAAAGACTTTTGAATATATTCATCATATAGCTAAATTAAGCAAAGTGTCTATCTATTGTATTAACCAATACTGACTATTATAAAGGAATATTGATTCCAGTTTAGTGTAAAGACTTGGTGTAATGATCGCTCAAGTGGGTATATCAACAGTGATACCTTAATGATGACTATCGACAGCCCAGATGGGTTTGTGCTTGGTATTTTCTCCTGACCATAATTACTGCACATTCGCTTGAGTAGGAGTAGTGTATTTAAAATGTCCACTTAAGTAATGTAAGTGACTGTATAAAGGAAATTTTTCAAGCCATTTACAGTTCAGAAAACATATCACATTTTAAAATGTTTCACTTCCCGAGACTGTATTTCAAATGTTTTTTCTTTTGCATGTATTTTTCTGCAGGATACATTGATTTTGGGATCAGTTGGTGCCAATGATTGGCGAGGGTCCCTTTTTGAAGTTGCAGCAGGGTCGGATTATAAATTAATTGTAGATCCTGAAATGGAGGAGAACTCATATATGGGTAAGAATAAGAATTCACTTGGTTCTGTTGTGTTAAGCTAAAGTAATGTACTGTATGTGCTTCTGGCAGTAAGACATGCCACTCGTTGATAAATTATGCTATTTCGAAGTTAATTTTGACAAACGTATTAAACTATTTTTTTTATGTCGACGCAGGGTATTCTGTTGCAGTTGGACAAAAAGCTAACAAGTCTATATGCTTTTCTGGAGCTCCAAGGTTTCAGCATATGGGGCTAGTTCTGCTTTTCCATGAAGTCAGTGGGCAATGGGTAGTGTTACAAAGGAAAAATGGATCACAGGTAGGTACCACTGATGCATAATTAGTGCAACACTTACAGTTAGGCACAGAATTATTGGCTCCATTGATAAAAAATGAAGAGGGCCGCATATAATAAACAACACAGTTGGTAGTCTGTATGTTCAGACATATGGGAAAACCATATCTTTTTATTTCAAGACATTATTTTCATGCTTCAGTAGTTTTCATTGATTGAATTTTTTTTTAAGAAAACCATAGGTTTCAAAACTACTGGCATCCCTCATTTAACACTGTGCTACTACACAGGCAAAGATAACTGGACTTGTTTCCTATAACCTTTCCTTTGAGGCCAGAGAACATGTTTAGGAGGGGTTTTTCTACCCACTTCCATGCAGAGATTTTAAAGATCATTGATGTGTTTGCATTTGCACTCATTGAATGTCCTCTCAAGTTCAGACTACTTAATTTCAATGGAATCTATGTTCAGAGACTGAGATTGCCATTGTAGAGCATGGATGATGTTCTCACGTAATGATGTCAGTTACAATCTAGACCAGGAATCATGAGCAGAGGCAGAGTATAATCCAATAATTGGTTTTATTGATAGTAATACAGGAGACAGTGGGACGGAGCCCTGAGGAGAATAGCACAGCTCAGTTCAGATGTTTCTGGCAAAGCTATGTGGGCGTAGCCAATGTCTGGCCAGTGGCATTCCGGCATAACTGCCAGATGGAGTGCACACTTGGTCTGAGCCGAAACTGCCAGATGGCTGGATGGTGAAGCTTACCAGGAATCTTGTTGAAGTTTTTTTCGAGGTATTAGTCTAAGTCAGGCCATGCATTGTGCTACTATTACAAGTGGCTTGTACCAGCCAACAAACTAATACGTACGGTAACGTTTTTAAATGTCATGGTGAGTTTAAGTTACGTTTTCAGAATGTTATTTGCAGCCTTTTCATTTGAATGAAATAACAAGATGTGAACATAACTCGAACAAATTACCTCCTCCATGTAATGTGGTTGTTTAACAATGAAGACAACAGCTATCATGATCCCACGCTACTCCAGAATATCATCAAACTCTTTTGGTGTTTTATTTAGAGACCCCTCGGCGCAGAGAATTGTATAGTGTGCATTTTATCTTGTCCACCATCTGTTGATGCTTTCTCCTCTTTTCCAACAAGCAATGGGGGAGAGTGATTTAAATTAGAAAGTCTATTTCGAGTTCTGTTTCTACACAAATACGAGAGCAAGTGACTCACATTGTTGTTAATCTGCCGAATGTTTTTAGCTAACTAGCTTGTTAGCCTGATGGTATGTTCGGCCATATTGAGCATTCATTTACCATGCAAGCTTGTCCTTTTTCTAAATTCCTGTGTTGAATTTATTTTTGTTTTTGTTTTGATTAAATTTTTTGTTCTCTCAGTTTCTAATATAGACTAGGGCACTGATAAAGCCTTAGTTTGAGCTTATACAACCCCATTTCCAGAAAAGTTGGGACACTGTGCAAAATGTAACTAAAAATAGAGTGCAATGATTTGCAAATCATTTAATTCAATGTAGTGCAAATACAACATATCAAATGTTGAAACTGAGAAATTTTATTGTTTTTTGAAAAATATTCGCTCATTTTGAGTTTTATGACATTTAATTTTTTTATACGGTGCCATCATTAACCCCTTTGTGCAGATGGACATGGAGCTTCAAATTTATGCAAGCAGTTACAATATTCTATCACTGGATGGCACACCCGGATCAGTTATTGAATATTCACAAGCAAGCAGAGCTTGAACATGGTTTAGAATATAGACCAGTTCAGTCCCATCCCTGTTTTTCAGGAGTTACATGAATTATTTTCCTCAGCTAAGCCTAATGTGCAAACTGCTCAATATACTTGTCCGTAGTATCTATCCAGCAGTTCAAAAAAAAATGATGATCTCTTGTGGCAGGAAAAATCATTGTCCTCTGTAGCAAGCACTTCAACTACAGTAAGCCAATGGTATCCAATTAGTTGTTAAGGAAAATAAGTTTTCTGAAGAAAAAATTTGACATGGTATTGATTCTATGTCATTCTATTATCAATTATAGTCATCACATATCAAAAACATGTAGTTCCCTACCATATATTTATGCGTAGATTCCTCCATCTACAAATTCAGCGCTCCTTTATATCCTCCTTCGTACTCATGTTGATAGCCAATCACTCAATTATTTACTTAGGCTCATCTGCGTAACTGCACACTTATAGTTCACGCCCACTTAAAGCTTCCCCGGTAATGATGTCTTGATTGACTCGTTTCTTATCCAATGCCAGAGTGTATAAACTTTCCACAGTAACTGAAAGACACTGATTGGACAATGTGAAGATTATACAAGCCTTTGCGTAAGAGCAAGGTCGGTTGTATTCTCTTAACGTTGGGCACAGTTGCACAGCTGAAAATGACGCGATTTAAAGTAAAAATAAGACTTCCAAAACTGGTCTGAGGTGTTCAGTTACATTTACTGGATTTAATTGAGGTACGGACATGGTCAATGGGAATTATTCCGAATGAAACTGGACTGGAGGGTTCCTTCTACCGGATACATCTGTCTCTGGAGGAGGGATTCAATGAAGAAATACTGCTACTGCTACTGTGGTTGCATTTTGCTCAAAGTGGCAGGGCAAAAAGGCATGTTTTGTGTTTGGAGAGGTTATTGGTGACCACTGATGTCCAGCTGCACCTATATTGAGAAACTCATGCTAAATTCAACCAGAAAATCATTCAGTCATATTGAATTTCATGCGTCAAAAGTTGATTTGTGTTAAATATATGATTATTTTATGATTTGACAGTGCACCATTTTGAGGGATCTTAGAGTTCGGGGAGCCACCTGGATAGCTGTCTTATTTGGCTCCTTTAGAATGTAATTGTAATGTAATGTAATTTAGAATGTAATGCTCAGATGAATTATACTTGTGGTCAAGGAGTTTATGATCCCAGAAATGTATAGTTTTAACCCCCAGCCATTTTTTAATTCTCTGTCTTATTTTTTTTTTAATACAATTTCAATGCTTAATTTTCATGAAGATTTTTTATGTTTGCAGCCCTTTTTCTCAACCAAAATCATGAAAATAAACTGAAATACGATGGAATTCTAAATGCTTCAAGTGTCCTGACTTAGTTGAGCCATTCCTTTCCTGTCTGTGAAGCTGCAATCTTGAATTATATAGCCTTAAATAAGGTAACGCATAAATAGCCAGATTTGGCTGCTGCATAAAGGGGTTAAGGTGACCACATCAATGACAGCCCTTCTCTTTGCAACAGGAATGATCACAAAAAGCGTTGCTTGATTCTCAGCAAAACGGTTTGAGTTATTTCATTTGGAAATGTAAAGTTTGGCCTGGAAGTGGTGTTACAGGAAAGGTTTTGGGGTCACACAAAACAAAAGGGTTCATAATTTGTATTTGTACCAGAAATGAATGCAAGAAGCTTCTTGCGATTCTCTTAAAAACTGTCAAGTTGTTGCAACGTTTGAAAATTAAAGTTTTGCTTGGTGTTGGTGCAACAGCAAAGGTCATAGGGAGGTCAACATTATTAACTAGCCCTCACCACAACAGAAACAATCATAAGAAGTGCCACATGATTTCCATCAA